TGTGGAAATTTTCCCATTTCGAGTGAATGCTGCGATCAGAAAATAATTCCTTCTGATTCGGATCTCATCAGCAGTGTCAAACAGTTGCACAGTTGTTCCTTTTTAATCAGTGAAAAATAACCGGATGGTCGATCTGTTGCTGCACAGAAGCAAAACACTTCCGATTAGTTATAACGACACAGGAAAGAAATGGAGTTTCGTGTTTGGAGCGATTTTGCGAAATTGCGACAGAATGATTTTGACAATGCCGTGTCGAAACTGCATCACGTGGTGACAACAAGATTGCTGCTTCTGTTCACTGTGTTGACGGCACTTTATGTTTGTCCAGAAGACGACCCAGTCATGGGCGGCATTTTCGGAGGCTCACTGGCAAAACCCATTGTTTGCATGGCCCATGGGCAAGAAGCGCATCCAGCGATACTCAATTATTGTTGGGTAACTTCGGCTTACACGCTTGAGAGTGAACTGAACAAGAAGCCAGGTGATTTGCTGATGTTAATTTTTTTTTAAATTGATGAGCAGTTATTGATTCATTCCCAGCAGCGGTGGGAATCAAATTAATGCTCAACTACGTTCGGCGGAGAAACATTTTTGAGTTGCATTAATGTTTCGTTTAACCCAGAGCGCAATACTTTTTTTTATAGAAAAAGGTTCATTAATTTATTCAGAACTCGTTTTCTCGGAAAGAAAAATTATATTCTGCAGCTATTTGTACAGTATTTGAATTAAAGATAAATCCTTGTCAAAAAGAACTCATGGGGGTACTTTCAACAATGTTTTGTACGTAATTGTATACCCAGAATAAATTTGCTAAAATGCGTGAAAATACTTGTCGGTAATCAGATATTAATCTCATATCTATTTTTTTCCTTGGAACATGAGAACAGTACAAAGCAAACCAGAGATGTCTTACCTGGAGAAATTTTTCACTACTGTAGCAGCATATAGGCTACAGGTATAGTATACAATTTAATTTCCAGAATTCCAGCAGTCCTCCAAAATTGACTCAAATAAATGGAAGATTTTGTTTTTTTTTTAGACGAAAGACCACCTTTAGCGCGTAATTTTAAGTTGACTACGTCCCTTTGAGTTAAACAAATAGAAAATAATAGATCCTTACCCACCTCGAATGGGTCCTCACCCAGGCCCTGTTGGGGACGAAGAACCCATTTTCCAAGCATTCTACCAATGGGTTCCGTTCATGCTGCTCTTGCAAGCCATGCTCTTCTACGCTCCGCATTATTTTTGGCAAAATGCTTTAAGGAACCATAGGTTAGACAAAGTCATTGAGGCATCAATGGGAAGAACTGAGGTGGCGAAATCGGTCGCCAAATTCATCTCTACATCACTCGGCCGTCATCGTTCTGTTTTTCTCGCAATCATTGTAAAAGAGATATTAAGTTTGGCCGTGGTTGGAGCAAATATCTACTTTACAGATGTTTTCCTCGGAGGGCAGTTCACAACATATGGTAAGAAAAAAATAGAGCAGAGATTGGACTTCGAGGCTGAGAAAAAGCGACATCTATAAGTATTATGTTTTATTGACAATCTCGTTCCATAGACGCTAGATGTCGCTAGTCAATATTTCTTTGTGGAACGTGTTTCGTGGTCCTTTTTTAAGTACTGGAGTACCGAACTGTATAATACAGTACTTGAACTCCCCGGCAATAATTTAAAATGCCACTATCAGGATAAAAATTGGACTGCACCATTATTTTTAATTTTTCAATGTATGTACTGATATACTGTGCAACGAGATGAATTTACGTACTGCAGCAGGGATATGTATAAATGAAAATTGGGCAATACATGGGTTTTTAAATTTTATGTTATTCTTTTTCACGCCTAAATGCACTAGAATATTTTATTTTAAATAATTAAGATGTGGACTAAAAGTAAGCATCATCAGTACGTTCCCTGGCAAAGACGCGTTAAAATTTTTGCGAGGTCTCTACAAAGGAAACCAAAATCCCGAATACGCTGCTAAGAGCATTTAAGAACTCAGGAATTATTTTTTAGGTTTTTTCATGGTTAACATTTAGAAACTTTCTATTATGTCTCGTGATTCACAATCGTCCTATATTTTTTATTTTTCACTGTTGAATTGGTTTTAGGAGAATACTACGTTTCTGTTCAGGAAAACATCATTCCTCTCTAAATTGGACTCTATATGTGATTGTTCATGATTTCGATTGCAGGAATCGAAGTTCTGAAGCTAATTGACAGCGATGGCACAAATCGCACGGACCCGATGATCAAGCGATTTCCTCGGGTAACCAAGTGTACTTGGCATTCATACGGCCCGTCGGGAACCATCAAAAAAGAAGACTACATGTGCCTTTTGTCAATCAACATGATGAGCGAAAAGATCTACATTTTTCTGTGGTTCTGGTTCCTTCTGCTGGCATTGGTTTCCGTGGCTCACTTGTGCAAGAGATTGATTGAAATTCTTTTTGCTCGGTTTCGGACCAGTCAATTGGTGTCAACCATTGGGAATGGGAGTTCAAAAAACTACGTCACGTTCATTTGCAAGCGTGGAAACATTGGGGATTGGTTCTTGCTTCGAGAAATCATGCGAAATGTTCACTCAGTTAGGTACGATTTCATTTTGAGTCAAATAGTTGCGAACATAAAACGAGAGGAGAGGTTGATCGAGCGCATGTGAAATATTGATGGGTAATTGATGTCTTAATTTTTGTGTGTGTAAGTCTTTCATTATTATGATTTTTTACGTTTTGCTATCAGTATTTGTTCAATCCTTGATAAAAAAAAATGCTACGACAAAGTTTATTTTGGATGCCGATACGAAAGAAAAGCTTGGTATATAGTGTGCCTAATCATGTGTGGACTTTTTTATTTCAGTCACATTTGATTTGCAAGTAATGCCTTATACGTACGCGATTCATGTACATTTTTACAGGTGATGCTGATTATCTAAAACTCTGCAATAAGTCTGGATATTTAATTTAGATTATATATGTATTGTAATTATAAAAAATGAAAAAGATGATAAATTCGAACAAGCCCTTCATTGGATGTATCGTTGACTTATGTGTAAACGGCGTTTTCCGAAACGAATGAATGAATGAAAATCTATTGCATTTATTTAGAACAGGAAGGAAAGATTTTGAAAAAGAAAATTCGTTAATCTACTTCAAAATACTGTACAAGGTGAGCGTGGTAAGTCAATCCTCAACACAGTATTCACTATATATATGATCACCAAAAAAAATTCTCCCATATACCAGCTAAAAATACAGCACGGGAAAAATAAGACTCATAAATTTACTCGAGATCAAAAATACATGAAATAAACTGGACTTCGAAATTTTTTCATAATTATTGGTTGTTTATACGACACACGAGCTGTTAATTGTATATCGAGGTATATTTTTCCTCATTCATGGCAGTTCGTCGAATTAGACGTTCGTTGTATGAGATATATGTATCCGGCACCAGATTATTTGCATTCTGCATCAATATGACATCGCAAGAATTCACGAGATTATATTTAGCTAAAAAGACATAGGTATCGATCCGCAAAATCAGTACTGTATTGATCTTCTGCAACATCGTATACATCTATCAGCAATATTTTCCTACCGAGTATGAAATGCTTTTTTCAGCTTGCCTGGTTTTACTTAATCGAAATAAAACATGTTCTGAAGAACTAAAACGGAATCGACTCGAAAGAATGAAAATAAGAAACGCATCCTGCACATGCGTCGATTGTGAGCCAGGGGGTTTCAGCTCTTGTGTGGAAACCCCGGCCCCCTTTTTTATGGGCGCGGCTTTACCGTCTGGACCTTGTTTTGGCTCATCGAGCTAGGGGAGCGCAGTCAGCTGTGCTGACTTAGCTGTGACTGCTCATTTCCGCCTTATGTCGGACCCACGTTTGGTTAAGGATTATTAGAGGGAAAAGTCGAAATCCCGTATTTTTAATTCATCATTTGTACTGTACTGTTCAATCCCATCAACTCGAAATTGTTCGTACAATTCTTAAATTCTGCAAAACTTGCTCTTGAAAAATTTTGGAAATTCTTACGATCACGGAATTTTAACCATTTGCAACTCTCACGAAGTCGTCCACTTCATGACTTGAGGTTCATCGAATAAAATTCGCGAGATCGACTGTTTTCAGAAAGTAAGACTTGAGCAAATTGGAAAAAAGCGTTTTTGGGATTATTATAAAAAAAAAAGATTCGTCGTAATGAGACGCATATGAAATTAAATTTAATGCGATATCCAAGATTAAAATTTCCGAATGAAACGTTCTCCGTCGCTCGGCTTATTCGCAGTGATGTTGAGGTTTACTCAAGAATTTCCATCGAATTCCGCTCCAGAAAAAAATTTATTTATATATCCTCCGTCGCGATCAGTTGTGATCATGAAAACCATGAGCAAGTTCAAATTTGACTTTAAGCCTCACACCGGAGCCCCCACCCTTAGCAGCCGCTGTGCCACCTAAGCGTCCTGTACGCGTCGCGGCTGTGTCGGCAGCGACCACGCAGGCACGGGTCCGCCCGCGGCCGGGCCAGGGCTACGCGAGAACGTCGAAGGTCTCACTCAGAAGGCAGTTATTGGGGCAAGTAGTAATAATAAATAAGAAGTTTAGCATCCGTCTTAATTTTAAATCTTCTCGTTCCTCAAGCAACTCACTTACGTACAACTACTAGGATTAGAAAGACAGGCAAAAGATGAGAACAGTATTTCGGCGACCTTTTCCAAAATCCAACCGCAGCTCCGCAACCCAATAACGCGCGGAAGTTGATGGGGAAAAAAGAACTGGTGAAAAATAGAAATTAAAATTTCGAGAAATTTCCACAAAATTACTGAATATGAGACGTAATCGACAAAATACAAGACACAACTCGACTTTTTGGGTCTTTATCGAAAATTATAGAAATTCGGCCACCGAAATTTAGGAAAATCTCTCGTCATATTCAAATGCAGTACTGTACTTTTGATTGGGAGAAACACATTCATTTTGCTCATGCTTTAGATACCCGGAAACCCTACCATCATGCATAATAAATCACTGGTTTTCCTGACGTAGTGATCATAATTTAAAAACTATATTCTTCAACTTACAATGACGCATGTAATTTTTACTATTTTTACTGAAGTTTAGAGGTTTAATTCGACAGATCGTGTGGACTCGAAAATAATGAATCATGGCTATTAAATATACGATGAGATCTAATCGAACATTCGTTGCCAAATGATATTTTGAACGCCTCTTTACTTGCGTGAAAGGGCTTCCTATTTTTGAGAAAATGTGTTGAGAAGTAAGTGACGCAAAATTACCACTCTTCAAAAGAATTAGTTCATTTTTGTCTTCCAAGGAAAAAAGTTGGTCTTTTGGGAAGATTGTGGCACCTGCTGCTTCTTTTGGGATCGTGTTTCGAGAAGAATTTCGGCTCAAACCTGAAATTCACCCGTTTTTTCGAAACTTTGTACATATTTAATTAAGCAAACTGTCAGATAAACTCGGATCTCTTCGGAGTCTTTGCGAATCATCTTGCTTTTTTATATTCGCCGTAATAATGAGCAGTAATTGTGAAGCTACACAATTGTTTGCCGGAAACGTTTATTAAAAATTGGTTTTTCTCACTGAAAAAATCCAAATTAGGATTGCGTTGTGTTGATAATATCCATATATGAAAGCATTATTTTAGAAGAAATGGTGCGTGATCGAGTTGAAGAAGTTCTTAAGAGTTTAAATCGAATGAAACGCGAAAAGCACTAGTATTCGATAAACGACAAAAGTGAAGCTTTTGCAAAATTTCCAACCGGAATCATCCCCAGATCGATTTCAAAATATTTGATGTATTCATTTCAAAAATTTGACATTTTCGTTTCATTTAATGAGTTCTGGTCACAAAAAACACGGAATCTAAACAATTCCTTTCCATTAATGCGCAGGTGACACCTGAGAAACTATGCGAAGTTATCTTGAAAACATAGGATTTCTTTTTCCACAAGCAAGGAATTTCCTATCTAACAAAACTTATTTGAAATCCTGTATTTTAAATTAACCCTTATATGTATCATCATTTAATTTAAAGTAACGGAAGACGATTAAATACGGTGCGAAATACTCTAATTGATACGATAAACTGCTTTACTTGCATTTGCTTTCGAACTGTCAGTGTGTTCTAAAGCAGGAAAAAAAAATACATTATATAAATGGGCATCCGCGTGTAACCCAAGCACATCAGGATATATTTTCCTTTGCGGATTTCTAGCCGCACAAAAGACTGACAGAACGACCCCCAAACACGGGGATCCCTTTGTATTTCGCGTTATGTGCAAGGAGGATGAATGAAAGGGAGGAAAATGAATAAATCCCACTCTACAATAAATGGCTAGATCAACCCGTTCGTCCTTGTTGACGTCGACGTCGGTGATCTCGTCATCAGAATGCATTTTGATATGAAGCCATCGCATCACCAATGAAAGGGGGACTTGGAATTATATGTTACTGTTGTTGAACAAAGCACAGTGGTATGCAAGTAACTGTTCAAGGAATAATGCAAAATTAAATAAGGGCATTCTTAAGTTTTGCTTTCACTTTGACTAGTGCACGATTCATTTTTATTTTTTATTCAAGCTGTTGGATCGAATTTTCTACCCACATCCGCATCGTGATGTTTCGGTTTTGAATAAAATTATTCAGGAATTTGTTCCACCGATTCCAAAAACTGAATGTTTCCTTTAGAAAATTACAATATTTTGTGAGTTTTGTAGATCAGAAATCTGAAGAAAATCCTCGAACATATCTGTGAATTCCTTACTGTGGTACATACATTATGCACATTCCTAAAACATCCTCCATCCTCTACTAGGAAAATGATTTCAATTTTACGAGTCAAGAAATTTCAGCTTCCAGAGTGAGTCTTCCGTCAATAACCCCGTTCATCATTATTATTTATTCTTCAAATCGTAGGCAGAATTAAAATTTAGAAGAGCAAGGAGTTCGTTGAGTGAATGCATGTTGATGATCCTAGAAAGCCATGCAAAAGATGAGAACATTATTTCGGCGACCTTTTTCAAAATCCAACCGCAGCTCCGCAACCCCAATAACGCGCGGAAATTGATGGGGAAAAAAGAACTGGTAAAACGTAGAAATTAAAATTACAAGTAATATCCACAAAATTACTGAATATTGAGACGTCATCGACCAAATACAAGACACAACCTAACTTTTTGGGTCTTCATAGAAAATTATAAAAATTCGGCCACCGAAATTTAGGAAAACCTCTAGTCATATTCAAATGCAGTACTGTACTTTTCATTGGGAGAAACGCATTCATTTTGCTCATGCTTCAGATACCCGGAAAGCCTACCATCATCATGCATAATAAATGACGCTTGGCATTTTTATTATTTTTACTAAAGTTTAGAGGTTTAATTCGAAAGATCGTGTGGACTGGAAAACAATGAATCATGGCTACTAAATATACGATGAGACCTAATGGAACATTCGTTGCCAAGTGATATTTTGAACCCATCTTTACTTGCGTGAAAGGGCTTCCTATTTTTGAGAAAATGTGTTGAGAAGTAAGTGACAAAAAATTACCACTCTTCAAAAGTAATTGTTCCTTTTTATTGTCTTCCAAGGAAAAAATTTTGTCTTTTGGGAAGATGTTGGCACATGCTTCT